GTTAATATAGATATATTTAGATCAAATGCTTTTTCATTTATTAGGTCGGTTTAGCCCATACTAATTTTATCTTTACGCTATCATGTTATTTTGTTTTGTCCAAGCTTTGTTTTATCCAAGCTTTGTTTTTCTTACATTGTTAAATCTAAAACTGTATAAAAATTATTTAATTTTATTCTTTGTAATTAGTCTTCCTGGTATAGTTATTACTGTTTCAGGAGTATCTCGATTAAAGGCACTTGTTTTAGTTTCTTTTAACTCGGCTTTAAACCCCGTCCTTTACTGCTGAAGGATCAGTGAGATGAGACAAGCAGTCTACTCCAATCTTTTTTATACATTATACGTATATACATGTATAATTACATTATATATGCCCTTACCACCGAACGACAGAGACTCCAAGGAAACAAGGCCATGACTAGCTTCATGTGTGCCTCGTGCCATAAAGGAATCGCAATGTCATTTCATTCATATCCTTCTTATTCCAACCGGTAGTTGGCATTTCGGTTGACTAGCTTGGAATTAAATACGAGAAAAATAGATCAATTTTTTAATGGTTTTCCGAGTTTTCTCTAACCTAATACTTTATTTCCTGTTTTCCACGCAATTCAGTAACAGGAAATACTAAAAAAACCTCGGTTTTATCTACAATTCTTTTGGAGAGACTCTGCCAACAACATTTCGAGGTGTCCTCTAAAGAAAAATTTGCAAGTTGTAAATATTCCGCTGACTTCTGTTAAATTAAGAATCCTTCCAGAGACGGTGATATATCCAAGCTGCTCCGAATCAAATCTTATTGTTCTTATACCTCTTGACATGCCTTCACCAAGCATTTAAAATCAAAAGACAAAGAAATTACAAAAGACAGGGGGGAACGAACGTTGACTCGAATTCGAACTTGCCCTGTGGATTAAAGAATAATTTTTTTTACGTATAGAGAAGTGTCTTGACTAAGAGGTTCCTTAACCCCTTAACTCCCATGAGTGATCAAGAAAGAATTTCTCCTTACAAAATCAATGAAATATCAACCAGATAAGTAATGAGAATAAAGAAAAATATCAATTTGGGGATATTAGTTGATCCAATATTAAATTCTCTGAACTAACATTATAAGAATTGCATGATTGACAGTAAGGAGAATTACAAATTTGATCTGGGAGTTAAAAGGTTTAACTTAATACTTGAATTCAGGTGTTGAAAGATACAACAACTAGAAAGTGGAGCGACTAACAAATACGAAATGTATGCTCTGATAAAAGGTATTACATTTACAGCATTCCCAGCCTTAGATTAATACTGAAAATATCGGAAGGCGACTCCGTCAGCTGCTTGTCTCCTGAATACCTAGCAACATAAAATTATATAATCTAACGATGTTAATGAATGGATGTCACATTTTGCTGGACGTATTACTTTATAGCTATTCCTCTACGTTGTAGGTAATGATTACTCCATAATGCACCTATCATTTTAAAGCTTCAACATTTCTAGTTAAACTCAAAATGAAGCGATCTGGTACCGAAACATCTGCAACACAACCGCGTGTAAGCCTTGAAAAACAGGGTGTTCAGTTCTTATTGAAAGGTTGCAAAATCGGGAAACTAGGCTCTATTTCATTCATTATTAGCTGGAAAAATGTTTGTTTAGTTGAGAAAATTCGATTCGTTTTCATTTCAGCAAATGCAGACTAGCGCGCAACTTGATTAGATTTTTTTATTTCCACACAGACCAGCAAGCACAAGGAAAACCATTTCGTAACCAGTCTTCTCCTCTTTGAGTTAGCCGAGCAAAAGAAAAACGGGTAACTCTTCCCCTAAGTGCCATGTATTTGTCATATTATTTGTTTCCATTTCGTTTTTTATATCATATTCACTTTTCAATTTCTCAGTAATGTAATCAGTACAAACGCTGTTCTCAAATGCCAGATAAAACTTAAATGTGCTGAAAATATCATTGCAATTGCTTGATGCCTGGCATTGATTGTCTTGGCCAAAGTTTCCCGAACAGTCGCCATAAACATCAACTTTAATGTATTTCAGAAGTTTTTTTACGTACTTATCTCGAGTTGTCCCTCAATTGGAAATAACATAACATAACATAACATAACATAACACAACATAACATAACATAACATAACATAACATAACACAACACAACACAACACAACACAACACAACACAACACAACGCAACACAACACAACACAACACAACATAACATAACATAACATAACACAACACAACATAACACAACATAACATAACACAACATAACACAATATAACATAACATAACATAACATAATATAACATAACATAATATAACATAACATAATATAACATAACATAACATAATATAACATAACATAACATAATATAACATAACATAACATAACACAATATAACATAACATAACATAACATAACACAAATTTTTTTTTTCTCAGCTGCATAGGCAGGAATTTTCGCTGGTTTCTTAGCTGACGGCAAAGAAACATAATTTCCATAAGGATAGGGAAAATCTGACTCCCTTTTGAAAGTTATAGTTCAATTAAAGAAGCCCTCCAGCAAGGAAAGACGGTTCTTTAAATCTGGGTTATTGACAATGGATTATTGGTTTGAAAACGCCATTCTTTGCTGTGGGCACCGGTAATTGTGAATTTCTTTCGTTCCTACATAACTTTGCACATCACGAGCATGAAAAATAACTAAATCACTTTTTCCTATATCGTAAACATTATACGTTATTTGGGATTTTTTGTCGGACATTTCAAAAGATACTCTTCCGTGGAGTTGGCTCCGGGCCATGGCTTGCTACCAAACATAGGAGTGTAGAGAAAAATGGTTTTGGTGTCATTACTAAAGTAAGCGCTTTAATGTCTTGCGAGGTTGATTTTGTATATGTGCTGTTTCCATTGGCTGGCCCGACTTGAATGACTCCGATGACCGCGTGCTACGCTGGACTATGTACCTCAATGAGAATTGGAAGAGTTAATTATCAGTCAATTGTTTTCAGTTGTAAATATCACGCCAAGGTATACTACCACGCGAGATGGTATAGCTTGTCTTGGTAAATGCCGTAACCAATCGGATCGCGCGTAGTGACAGACACGTGCCAAATACTCTTTACTGGCAATGTTACTTAACAGGCGCTCGTATCTTGGCTCGTGGCTTATTAATGTTCGGAAAATCCTGACGACTACAATAATGCTTCCCGTTTTACCGATCTACCATCCCTCCGCTGCAGTTGGATTCGTCAATTCCTCGGCCAGGACAATACTTATTTCATAGCACTGGCGCACAGAACCAGAACCAGAACCAGATGGGTGTTGTTTGCATTTTGAATCGACAGGATTGCTATATTCCGTCGAGTTCTCCTCGTCTGAAGTGACATCAAATGCAACGTCTGCAAGAATCGCCCTCTCATTCGCATAGATATAACGAAAATAAGGACAAGAGAGGTCATCAAAAACGCTTCGTCTCCTGCCATTTTTGAAATGTGCGTGCTTTTGTAATTTGAATCGTCAGCGGGTTAAATCCTGAGTCAAATTTTCCAGTTAAAACAGATGTCACGTTTAACTACCAAACGTTAGTCTCTAAACAAACATCTACAAAGAATTTTTAGCTAGCTAATCGGCCTAATAAAAAGGCACTCTCAGTTTGCCTGAGCTGATAACAATTCGTGGCGTCCACAGATCACTTGAATTAATAATTCAAAATGTGTCGAATGTCGACCGACTGTCGGTCTACTTTCGATATCCTATTACTGAAGGTTTTTTTGAGTGAAGAGGTTTTTCATTTAATAATTTTTTTTTTTTTTTAATGTTGTGTTAGGAAATTAAACTATCATAAATGCATTTTTTATTTCCCCTTATTACTAATTCAAATTCGCGCAGAAAAACCGGCTTTTTTTCTCTTTCGTGTCACAAATCTCACAGCTTTCGGGCATTTTACATAATCAGACGCTAGTGATGAATTTTTTACTCTCTGATCTAGACTTAGAGGGTGCTGTCGAAATATTCTTTGTTTGTAACTAAGGATAACCTGCAAAAGAGTGTAAACGACTGCAGGATGATAATGATAACAAATATAACGGGAAGTGGAACACAGACGAAAACATATGAAAGATTGTTATGCTCACCAGTTTGGGTAGGTGAATTAAAACAACAGTCCATTTCATTCTCAGCAATCAACATTCTATTCTCCATCACAGCAATTCTCGGGAATTCTCTTATCCTTGTTGCCCTTTACAAGGAATCTTCCCTCCATCCGCCATCCAAACTCTTGTACTGTTGTTTGGCAACAACCGATCTGTTGGTTGGTCTTGTTACCCAGCCCCTCTGTGCTACTTATTGGATGTCTTTGGTTCACGAACACTGGAGTCTTTGTCGATACGCAAGGGACGCAATCTACATATCAGGCTATGCATTATGCGGAGTGTCTTTGTTGACTCTGACGGCCATAAGCGTAGACCGACTTCTCGCCATGTCGTTGAGATACAAAGAGATTATAACTTTAAGGCGCACGTATATCATTTTAGCTATATTTTGGGTTGTGTGTCTAGTCGCTGGTTTATTCTCTCTTTTCGATTACCATATAACCTTTTGGTGCGGCTTTATAGTTATATCATCTTGCCTGATTATCTCCATCGCCTCGTACACAAAAATTTTCCACGCTATCAGTCATCATCAAGCTCAAGTACAAGATCATGCTCAACAACAGCCGAGCCAACCAAATGCACTGAACATGGCGCGATACAGAAAGGCAGTGTACAATGCGCTGTGGGTGCAGTTAGCTCTAGTTGTCTGTTATGTACCACAATTTACACTGAAAATTGCGATGTCTCTTAGTAAAGAACGATTTCCGAATTTCATTATAATCAGCGAAATGGCAACTTTCTTTGTGTTATTTAACTCTACTTTAAACCCGTTCCTTTACTGCTGGAAGATAAGTGAAGTGAGACGAGCGGTAAAGCAGACAATCAGACAAGTAATCTGCTATGCATAGGAGTAGACCTATTTTAACGTTGGCTTGTACCGTTATTCTATAGGTTATTTTGAAAAATTATAATTGTTATAAGAGAGGGGAAGGAATGCCATTTTATGATAAGAAGAATGAGGAAAAATATGAGGAGCTACTTTTAAATAGTACATTGTAGTTGAATTATCTAACGGACAACTAACAGGCGAAAAATTGTGGTTTAGTAACAAACAAAACAATAATATGTCGCAAATTTGCGCATTTCTAATGAAGTAGTAAAGGCTATCAGTTATTTTGGAATCAGAACGCGCTCAGGATTTTTCTTTCGATAAGATATTTATCACCTTAGATCGGAAATAGGGTTTCGTGATAACGCGCTGTTAACGGAGTCGGCTGCTTGATTTTGTCATAATCGGGAATTAGCCATTGAGTTTACAACGAAACTTTGTAAATTAAAGATGCGGACTTTGTTAACATCTGCTCAAATACACAGAAGGGAATGCTTAGAAAAGAAGTTTATCATCTCTCTTTCAAATGGATTTATCGTTTGAGACCAAGATGATTTGCAGAAAAAAGAGTTGTCCCAAGTGAAGGAGAATTCGTAATGTTAATGATGTTTGAAGTAAACTGTTCACTACTAGATCTATCTTCACACTTTTTAGGGCATACAGGCAGAGTTTAATGTTGTTTGATAGGTAGAGAAATTGTGATTATCTAAAACCGGTTTCATTCAAGCGCGACACGTACAGAACAAAGAACAAAAATTCAAATTTTCTTAGGGGTAACTATGCATCTGTAACCATACATTAATTTTGAATAGTTTTATGTAATCCAGTTTTCTATTTTTCCCAATACCGATTACCGTTTTCAAAAAAGGCTTTTAACTTCAACTAAGATAATTCACGGTGTCTTAAGGTTGCATAAATTACATCAACCAGCTTATCAATGAAAGTTTATTTGAGTAACCAGGGTTTTGTATGCATAGGGGTAGACCTATTTTAACGTTGGAATAAACTGCTTTTTCTTCAGCTTATTTGAAAAATTATAATTGTTAAAAGAGAGGGAAGGTATGACATTTTATGATAAAAAGAGTAGAGAAGGTATGAAGAGCTACTTCTTAATAGCATATTCGAATAACAAATAACCAATAGGTGAAAAATTGTAGTTTGTAGTCAAGTTGCGCATTTTCGATGGAGTAGTGAAGGCAATCAGTTATTTTGGAGTCAGAATACGCTCAGGTTTCCTTTGCGATCAAAATTAAACTTAATGAGATATGTCACCTTAGATCAGAAATATGGTTTAGTGATAACGTACTGTAAACGGAGCCAGCCGCTCGATTTTTCATGAGTGGAATTAGCCATGGTGTTTTTAACGACACTTTTAAATTAAGCATGCAGACTTTGTTAACATCTGTTCAAATATAGGGAAATGCTTACAAAAGAAGCTGATCATCTCTATTTAATACAGAGTTATCATTTGAGACCAATTGTTTGCCTAAAATTATCTCGCAGATTATAACACAAGAAAATTATAATAAGAAATGATTAAAAAAGCTCTAACATGGTTGATAAGAGTAGTTATTTTTCAGTATGTTACCAACGTCAACTTTTTACCGAGTACCCTAATGAGCCCAAAAAATTTTGACCGCTGTAAGGAAGAATATCGTTGTCGATAACAGTACAGACCACAATGTACCATGGCCACGGTCGATTTCTTAAATGGAGAATTTTCGCTAATAGCAATGTTTACTACTAGAACCTAACATATATTATAAAAGCTGAAGATGATTTGCAGAAAAAAGTATTGTCCTTAGTGAAGGAGAATTCGTGTTGTTAATAATGTTTACAGTAAACTGTTCTCCGCTAGATCTATTTTCACACTTTCTAGGGCACAGAGGCAGAATTCAATGCAGTTTTATTAGTAGAGAGGTTGTCATTACCTCAATGTTCCATTCAGGTGTGTCACGTAGAGAACAAGGAACAAAAATTCAAATATTTTTTTAGGGGTAACTATGCATCTGTAACCATACATTACTGTTGAATAGGTTTATTTAATCCAGTTTTGTATTTTTCCCAATACCGATTAGCGTTTTCAAAAAAGGCTTTTACCTTCACTTAAGATAATTCTCGGCGTCTTAAGTTTGCATAAATTATATCAATAGTCGATAAACCAGCTTATCACTCCCCAATGAAAGTTTATTTGAGTGAACGGAGTTTTTATAGTCGCATTGTGAAATAATTCTACCACAAATGTATATTTGCTTGCGGGGTGCTTTTCTAATTCAAATTCGCGGAAAAACCTGGCCCCTTTTTTTTCTTTTTCGTGTGACGCACCAGACAGCTTGTTTATGCATTTTGCATAGTCAAACCTACTGATGAACTTTATATGTAATCATTATTCACAGATTGAGGTTTGGCTCATTTACAAGATCATGTTTGACAACAGCCTAACAAAACAAATGCACCGAACATGGCGCGATACAGAAAATATCTTTAAGTTTAAACCGATTATGGATTTTCTCCATAATCAGGGGCATAGCGAATGTTGTAGTTTTCTTTAACTCCACTTTTAAACCCATTTCTTTACCGTTGGAAGATCAAAGATGAAGAAGAAGAAGAAGAAGAAGAAGAAGAAGAAGAAGAAGAAGAAGAAGAAGAAGAGGAAGAAGAAGAAGAACCTTTATTGATTTATACCGCCCAGGGTAGCCCCTTCAGATGCAAAAAGCTGTCTGCTATCAATGAAAGCCCTGAGGACAACAAAGCACTAAAAATATGGTATATATGTGCATTACAATGATACTGATATTAATATAGATAGAACACTATGTACAAGTAAAAAATTTAGAACTAAATAAATACGAAATACCATCAAGATAGTTCGTTAAAAAGAGTGAACCCATAGTGATAGAAAGATCGTTTTGTGATCTCAGTCCTCACAGCGGGCGTTGGAAAAGGTTGCTTTGTCTAGTGGCGCGGGCGTAAATTATAATATATAGATTTAGGCAAGCCTAAAAACTGAGCTCGCATTTTTTTTCCCGCACATCTCTTCAACAAAACTAAAGCCCCTACTATGAATTAAGTGTGTGGTAATATTAATGGATTTTCATTCGCAACTTCTCCATGTCCGTGTAGAGGACTGATTATATTATAGATGCTATGGGGTTAAATTTAAAAGTATATGTTTACTAACAGTATATATGCCATTGATGGTAATCAAAAGTCTATACGCAAATTTTGGGGGTCTCCATAAAAAAAGCTTGCAGCGAGAAGTTGAAAATTATCAAGAACAGAAAAGAAAATTATGGAAACCGTTAAAAACTTTTCCCAACAAGAAAATGTAAGTACTCGGTTAATTTTGAGCACGTATGGTCACTTGCGATTTTTCCAAAGAATGTGAAATTGCGGTCTCAACCTCTCAATACACTGCTAGTGCTCATAAAGCACGATACGCAGTATTCCAAATCGCTAATAATTGTTATCCGGAAGCGCAGAAGGCACTCAGAAACTTGCTAAGCAACCGAATTAAACGAGGTACAACTTGTGAAAACATCCATAAAGGAGCAAAATGGGAGCGCGAAATTGAAACAGGCGATGTTCCTCTCTAACAATTGCCAGCTTAAATTTTCGCGCCGAAGGAAGGAAACGCGGGCAGCGTCCATTTTAACGTCATTTCGGATTGTGATAAAAGTTGAGTGGTGCACTGAAACGCTCTCATTCCATACAGTTATTTGGAAGGTGAGTAAAAAGCACATCGATGTTATTTGTTTTACGCATTTCCCACAATCAAAAAAAACGTAACAAGGAGTTATTACTCTAATTTCAATCTCAATAATATATAGATTTAGCCAAGCCTAAAAGCGGAGCTCTTATTATTTTATTTTCCAGCCCTACGTTACACTGAATAAAAACTGTAATAAAACTATCTACTGGCAAGTCTTTGTGTTATATTTCAACCCAACCATTTCCTCAACATATAAACACTATTTCAAAGTAATTAGTCAGGGAAATGGAAAACTTGTGGCATATACACCATGTTTGAAATGCCATGACCATAGTAAGCTAACAAGATTGAGTAGGATGTATGTACTATAATTGCTTAAGACCGTTACAAAAGCGAAGGGAAGTCACTGACAAACCAAAAGGAGGAGAGGTCGCTCTTTCGTATTTCGAGCTCCCGCTTCTATCTGTCTTTTTGTTATTAATTTTAACTGAAATAATGCCA